TTTTCCTTATAGCTTCTCACTGCCTGACACACTCTATATTCATTTGTTACTCTGTAGTTCTCCTGTCTTGTTTGCTACTGTAGACCCAGCACCACACAGACTGGCACAGAGTAAAGCAGTCAATATCTGTTGATTTTGTGACCTTTTTTCACTTGGTCACTTCCCTTCATTTTTATGTTAACCTTCACTAATCTAAGTAATAGACACATTTTCTTTTTGTTAATCCTTACCCGAGGATATTTTTCAATTGATTTTTAGAAAGAGTGGAAGGGAGAGGGAGAGACAGAGAGAAACACCAGTATGAGAGAGACATCAATTGATTGCCTCCTGCACGCATTCGAACCGTGGTGGGGAACCTGCAACTGAAGTACGTGCCCTTGACTGGACTCGAAACCAGGACCATTCAGTCTGAGGCTGATGCTCTATCCACTGAGCCAAACCATCTAGGGCTAGACACATTTTCCCTGTAAAAATTTTAAAACATTATGACAAAGGTAAATCCCATTTGCACAGTACACCTCATCCTGGTCCTATTGTCCTTTCTTTGCACCGTATCTTTTCAGACCTTTATCTGTGCATGCATATGAGTAACAAAGAGTTCAAAATGAGGAAAATACATTGGGATTTTTAAAATGCAAATAATACGCTGTAGGATTATTTTACAACTAAATATTTTTTCATTTATTTTTTATTGGCAGTACAGTAAAACCTCAATCTAACAGACTAATAATTCAGGCAAGGTATCTGTTAGTCCGTTTTATAATAAAGTAGGTTTTCCAAATGTATATGTTAAAACATTAATTAGCTTACCTATTTTTACTATGTAAACACATTTGTGTAATTAAAATTAAGTTTGTATGAAAAGTTAAATATCACGGTAAAGTTTTCTATATGTATTGCAGTAATTTTAAATTTATATTGAATAGGCCTAGTAAATGCATGCATTCACCAGTTACCAGGAGTAAATAAATGCACATAACTGGGGTGTGGTTTAATGTATGTTAGAACATCAGTTAAATATGTAGAATATAGTTGTACATATGTAATATTTATTTATGTTGGCAAAATTACTAGTGTTCCAACATATGGCCTATTCCCTAAAATTTGTTAAAAATAACAGTGAACCCAGCTGGCGTCGCTCAGTGGTTGAGAGTCAACCTATGACCAGGAGGTCACAATTTGATTCCCAGTCAGGGCATATGCCCGGTTTGCGGGCTCAATCCCCAGTGTGAGTCGTGCAGGAGGCAACTGATCAGTGGTTCTCTCTCATCAATGTTTCTATCTCTCCCTCTCCCTATCGCTCTGAAATTAATAATAATATTTTTCTTTTAAAAAAAATCAATAGCCCTAACCAGTTTGGCTCAGTGGATAGAACATCGGCCTGCGGACTCAAGGGTCCCGGGTTCGATTCCGGTCAAGGGCATGTACCTTGGTTGCGGGCACATCCCCAGTGGGGAGTGTGCAGGAGGCAGCTGATTGATGTTTCTCTCTCATCAATGTTTCTAACTCTCTGTCCCTCTCCCTTCCTCTCTGTAAAAAATCAATAAAATATATTTAAAAATAAAATAAAAATAAAAAAATTAATAGAAAAAATATCTTCAAAGATTACCAAAAAATAAAAACTAACAGTGAGTTAATAATAGAAGAATCCGTTAATTTAATTTTAAGCAGATCTTGGTTAAAAAGAATTTTAAAATTAACAGTGTTACTTTTCACATAAGACATATGGACCAGAATTTTGTCCAGTAAATTGAAGTCCGTTAAATCAAGGTTCACAAAATTGAGGGGATGGCTGGAAACTTAGCAAGCCAAAATTAAATGAACAATGGTAGTCATTAGCTTAACATTTTATTGAATTTCAAGCCTTTGAATACTATTACCATGTTTACTGAACAATTTGTGACATCACCTGCAAAAATAGGATTACCAAGACTCACTGTGGGTATCTAAATTTGAGTTCATTAAAATAAAATGTACTTTCTCAGTCACAGTAAGCACATTGCAAGTGCTTAGTAATCACACGGAACTACTGGTTACCATATGGGACAGTGCAGATAGAATATGCCCATCATTGCAGAAAGCTCTATCAAATAGATTTGGTCTAGAATGCTGGACTGTCAATATTAAAACCATGTCAAAGGTTTTATTCCCTTAAAGGTGAACCCATGTAGGGAACAGTAAAGATAATAGAGCCAGAGTACAAATTAGGTGATGATTTGCCATTCACCTAAAATGATATGTTGAGTCATATTTTAAGCAATGTGGATCTAATCGCTTGGTGGCATTAAAAAAAAAAAAAGGCATAGTACAGTTCTTTACCCAACCAGAGCCTGAAATTCGTCCCAGGTTCAGGGTACAGATGTAAAAAAGCAAAGTCTAAAACAACAACAATCACTGTTAACTAGTGGTCAGACTACATTTAACTAAGGGGAAATTACTTACTCAATAGCAGACATCCATATGGAATGGTAAAGTAGGATACTTTTGTAAAGGTTTATCTGAAACAGGACTGCAAAGGTAAAACAAAATTTAACAAAAGCTAGAGATAGTACATTTGCAGAGAATCACAGATGGTTCGTGTTGATTCTTACATAAGGTACACATAATTTAAACACACTTCGGCTTTATTGAGGAAATCTGGTTGGTTGCGGAAGAAACACAAATATGATCACAAGTGTTGACCTCCCCACTCAAATTCTATCTCAATGGCCTTAGAATGAGAGAACTTCAAACCATGTATTGCAAATATAGAGGGTTTTCTTCCAGATACAGTGCTGAAGATATACAGTGCTGGATAATGTACATCCTAAGAGAGGGCGACTTGATCAGTACATAGGAAAGCCCTAGCAGAACCCAATTTCTATCCCACATCTTAAAGGGGAGGAGCCATTTATTGGCAAAGATCCTCTTTATAGAATTTAATCCTTTGGTTTTTTGCCTTTCTCTTCTTTTTCTCTATTCTGACTCATTCACACCAATATTTGAGTGGATGTAAGATTCTCCCATCTTTGAAAAACCGTCAATCACACATTTATCTCTACCCACTATATGATTTGCCCAACATCACCAAACTCTAAGGGTTCTCCAAATTGTCTTCACTTCAAAAGCCATCCACAACTCAACTTCACTAAAACTTCCAGAGTCAACAATGACTTTTTTGCAAACTATTACAGTCTCCATGTGTTTGGAATTTTTTTTCACTCCTTTTAACTAACATTTCAAATTAACCACTTTATTTGCCTTTCAAAAGCAGCCTTCTCTTAAACTTCTCTGATACCACACTCACCCCGTTTTCCTCCTGTTTTTCTGGTCATTCCTTAGTCTTTGTGGGTTCTTCCTCTGGCTATCTCCAGGCCCTTGTTCCTGAGCTTGCACCAGGTGGGTGACTTCATGCACTCTCTGTGCTTCAAATGCACATCTGTATTCTGATGATTTCTTTTTCTGTGGTTCCAGCATAGATCTTCCTTCTGAATTCCAGAAACACACCTAGTCGGCATCTCCTCTTGGGTGTTCAAAATGGCACCTCAAATTACCTTGTCCTGATCTGAAGGTATCTTCTTTCCCCAGATTGTATCCTACATGCCTTATCTTAGCAAATGATGCTACCATCTACCTAGTTCCACAAACCTGAAACTTGGATGTCTGTCTTTCTTTACTCTTCTAATTCCCTCATCCTCTGCATCTAAACATCATCAAGTTATTCAAGTTTCACCAACTGTTTATCAAGTGTTAGCACGTTCCACCATACCTACTGACAGCATTCTACTATAGGCCACTGTAATTTCCAATGTAGATTATTGTACCAGCCTCCTATTATATTCCCCCCAGTGAAGCCTCTACATTTTTCAAGTGTTCTCTGAATGAACTCAATCTGATTCCCTCCCATCCTTTGTCTCAGGATAGCTGCCATAGTTTACAAGTCTATTCTAGCCGTGTCTTTAGATTTCTACTCCTTGTTCTCCAAGTGGCTTCCATACTTTTATTTCCCCGCAAGGCCATTCTTATTCTTGCATTTGCAGCCTTGACAACCTCTTCCACCTTTTACCACAACAAGCGTCACCCCATTTCACCTAGCTAATTTGTACTCATCCTTAAGGTCTTGTTTGGACATCATTTCCTTCTGGAAACTTCTCTTGACCACCCTCCCCCTCAAAACCAGTTAGGTACCAGTCTTATGTGCCCTCATAATGTTTTTCCCCATCAATGCACATTCACACTGTTTACTAGTTTGTATCTCTCAGTGGCCAGCAGTCTACTCAAGAGCAGGTATGCCTTTTTAACTATTAATCTTCTGGTACGCAGGTGTGCAATAAATGTTCCTTTGAATAATTGTATTGCTCATGCCTTTTTATTTTACTTTCTCATGTTTTGACCCCTGGAGTCTTGGGAGAGTGCCTTTCAATTGTTAGCCTATATCCTCCAACCACCTTCTTTACCAAACTTTCACAAGCCAGGCAACATTCCTGTGCCCTAATGACTCCAGGGCCAGGTACCAAACAAACAAGCACAGCCTCTATATCCCCAAACCCGCTGAAATTATGCAAATTCGCCAATCGTAAATTCGCCCTGTCTCTCCTATTCCTTCCTGCAAAAACCACAATCATGTCTCTTACTCTGGCTCCCTCTGCCTCCTGACCCACCCTGGTGCTTCCCGGTGTGGGCTTAAACTGCTTGCAGTTTAGAATTGATTTGATATGAAAAGTCTTGTGCATTTAACAAGAACTGCCAAGATAAGTGGTGGAATGAAAACTGTGTTAGGGTGGTGGGTATATGGGTTTTTCCGGATTTCTATAACAACATCAACTAGCACACCTTAATGCCCGCCACAGAACAAAAGCCTCAGCGAAAATGGGGGTGGAAGAGCGGAAGTAACAACTTGGTTCTCATCCGCATCTCCCCGCTCCAGTGGGCCCTTTGATGCTGGGCTGGCTTTGCGCAGCCGCACTTGGTTAGACGCGGAACCCTTGTGAGTGGTTTCAACGTTTTCCAGTCGGCAGTGAAAGCGCACTTCCGGCCTTCACGGAAGTTGTTGCACAGTCGTTTCCAAGGTGGTGTGAGGTAGAGGAGCTTTCCAAATGGGTCGTAGCCGCTCCCGATCTCCGCGGAGGGGTGAGTCAGATAGAAGCAGTTCGGAGGGTCTGGGGCTCGGTTAGAGGCGCTTCCTATCCCCCCTTATTTTCTATGCGTGGGCCGCGGAGATGCAGGCCCTTTACTCCTGAGAAGGAGACAAGCGGGTGTCTGTGTGGATGGGGGAACGAAGACCTCGGCGCTTCGGTTCCGAAGCAGGGTTTTTTCCCCTTCTAAATTGGCGTTTCGCTCTTTATCAGCCTCCAATAGTAACTTTTGTTATTCTTGTACCTGGTAATTTAGAATCAGACCACGGTTTTTTCATTTAATTTCTGGGTGACCGTGTGTAAGCCATCCAACCGTTCCGAGTCCGAATTCCCATAATTAGACATTGGGGGTAATATTACCTAGCTTTAAAAACTGATGTGAGCAATAATGGCACATTCCACAGCACTCAGCATGTGATACTGCCTGTGTCTTAATGCTCAAGGTAGGTTTCTCCGGTGTATTGTAATAGGGGATCTTGTGTCCTGGGAGCTCACCCCCTAAGGTCTCTTGATCCCACCCCCATAAGTGAGGCAGAGCCGTGTACTCTGACTTAGACCCTCGGTTCTGCTCCTGGGTGGTTTTTACCACCTTCAACTTGTCAAGACGTGATTTTCTTAAAAGTTAAATGAGGCCGGCATCCACATATGGCTATTGAGGATCCCAGTCAGAATAAAGATGTGCCCAATCAGGATTAAGAAGTGCTGTTTAATTGTAGGATACACACCGGATTTCCTTAATTTAGTACGGAAAAGGTAACATAATCTCAATACTTTCTTATATTGAGTACTTTTTGAAATGGTAATAGTTTGGAAATACATATATTTAGTCAAATAACATCCTGTTAAAACTTATTTCACCTGCTTTTTACCTTTTTAATGTGAATACTAGAAATGGCTTGCATTATATCCCTATGAGACAGCCCAGCTCTAAATATTTGAGGTAATTTTTGGCTCTGCAATTTTGTTCCTTGTGTTAGAACGCAGGCGGTCCCGGTCCACTTCGCGGGAGAGAGAACGCAGGCGCCGGGAAAGGTCTCGGTCCAGGGAGAGAGATCGGAGAAGGAGCCGCTCTCGATCCCCGCACAGAAGACGCTCCAGGTAAGTGCGGAACATGGGCAGAGCTTTACCACGAGTCCCAGAGAAACTAGTTGTTGCCCTTTACTTTGTTTTTATCACTTACAAGGCCCTTTACAACAAGCATGTCAAACTCAAAGGCTAACGCGGGCCAAATAAGGTTTAAGTTTATGTGGGCCGCAAAAAAAACCCAAAAGCTTAAATTTTCATAGAAATGTAGGTTTATTTAGATAGAGACATGCTCAATACAAAGGCTGAAATAAATGAGTAATCGTTAAAATAATAGAACATTTTAATAAAAATTAATATTTTTTCTTGAACTTTAATTTACCAGACACTGAATAACTGCACAATTTAATAAGTGTAACGCAAATAAACTTATTTTTCTTCTTCTCTGAAAGTGAAATATTTCCTGTTGGGCACACCAAACAAGTCACTACAAGACTAATGATGTGGCAGTCGGCTGCTAAAATATTCGCTGCTAGATTTAGTGGAGAGAAATGGTGCACCTGCATGTAAGACGTGTAAGGGAAATGAATGCAACACGATTATAGGGGTCAGTCATTAGCGAACGTTGTTATTAATAATTATGTATAACAGGATATTATAAAAATTAAGTTATGAGATTTTTATTAAAACGTTTCTTATATACCGTTATATTGGCTGGGCTGAAAAAATATTCGTTGTGGGCCGCGAGTTTGACATGCTTGATTTACAATGCCATGAAATGAGGGGGACTTAAGCCCATCTTATTCTAAACCTAACATTTCCCTGGGTGAATGGGGTTAATAAGTCTTTACTCCTAGAGTTGCCTTGAGGAGTAAATGAGAAATAATACCAGAAAAGCACTTAACATGATGCTTGGCAAAAATAAGTAATAAGTGTTTGTTTTGCTTTTATTGACTTTTTGGTGATAAAGATTTATTCAAGTATGTAATAAAAAATGTGAGATCTTGGAAGTACCTTAGAATGGACTTGTGATTTCCTAATAAGCATCAATTGCTGTTTAAGTCAACTTTTTGTGTGTTTATGTGCAGTTGTTAGAAACTGTTTAGTTACATTTTTCTGCCTTGCAGAACATTTTTTAGCCCTATCTATACTGAGCAAGACTGTAATTTTGTTAACAATCGGGGTAGGCGGAACCTTCTAGCTTATTCTTCTATAGGAAGTGGGCTCGTGGTTCTCTGCAGCCTGGCTCTTGTTCAGCGTTTACCTTTCAGGCACTCATGCATATCTGTGCTGATTGACACAGTGGCCAGGTATGTCTCTGTTTCTGACATGTTTACTTATTAAATATTAGATCCCCAAGACGACATAGATCCACATCTCCTTCTCCTTCTCGACTGAAAGAAAGAAGAGATGAGGAAAAGAAAGAAAGAAAGAGCAAAGAAGGTCAGATAACTGGTAATGTTATTAGAAAATAACTGTAGGAAGAGTGCAGCCTTGTTTAGATAACTTCAGGCATGATAACATAAAAGTATAATTTTTAACTATTAAGATATATTAAGTTGTTTATAGTATTCATTGCATATGGGTTGAGATTTTGTTTTAATTGTACCTTTGAGTTCCTGGTTATCTATGGTGCTCCTGATATTGGGAGGACAATTAAAAATGTGAGCATATTTTATTTTGGAAGTACCTTCAAAAGAAGTGTCATGTCTGATATGAAAGGGGTCCTGCTAAAGGCTTCAACATGTCCTTTTAAGCAGTTTCTTCTGTTGGAAGGTGGAGAGCACATTCCTTCCTTGCACCTCAAGTTACAGTCTGCTTGCACAATTCCCCATGGCTAAGATTTGGAAACAGCCTAAGTGCCCATCAGCAGATGAGTGGATTAGAAACCTGTGGTACTTCTACACAATGGAATACTATGCTGCTGTAAAAAAGAAGGAATTCTTACCATTTGCAACAGCATAGATGGAACTGGAGAGCATTATGCTAAGCAAAATAAACCAGTCAGAGAAAGATAAATATCACATGATCTCACTCATTTGTGGAATATAATGAACAACATAAACTGATGAACAAAATTAAAACCAGAGTCATAGAACCATCAAACAGACTGTCCAACCTATGAGGGAAGGTGAGGGGTGAAGGGGTAGATCAACCACCAAAGGGCTTATATGCCTGCATATGAGCATAACAAATGGACACAGACAGTAGGGAGTTGAGGGCATGTGC